TTCAGTGGCTTGCAAGAAAAGGCTTGTCTCTAAACAATAATCTGACTTAACAGGTTAAGTGTAAGGGCATCGCCACTCGACTGCTGGCATAACTTGTTTCCTAGGCCTTCTGACTTGACACAAGGCATGAAATCTTAGCCATTTCAAGGTTCAACTTTTAATCCTTGAATTATTAGTGACAAACTTGGCCAATTTAAAGCTCTTAAATGTTCACCTTTTAATCATTGTTGCTTTGCCTGATTATTGGCAAATGAATGAATCAAAATGAATCTGAAAAACAATTGTCTACTTAGGGCTCTTTTGCGGTTAAAGTTCATTAACCAACCGCTAACATCTAAATTAACCACGATACAAATATAAATATGTTAACTGGATAAAGTGATATTAGAAAATGTTTCCCTGTTAAATGTATAAAAATGATCTCTGTTTCATTTTGACGTTTATAAGTTATTTACCGACTCGAGGTGAATGCTAATGAGCTAGGTTTTGTTTGGTAAGTTACATGATGGATGATCAAAGTTGACCCCTGTGACCCATTTTGATCGTGTTATAAACAATCGACCTTAAGGGATCCATAAAGGGCCAGGAGAAGAAGAAAGGAAAAAGTTGAAAAGAAACAAAATTTGGGCTTCTTCAGTTTGAGGTTTTCCAAAATCAAGTTGATCAATAAACACAAGTGACCATGAAAATGAGCGTTTCAATTGTCTCATTAAACTTGATATAAACAAATGTAGTTTAATGAATAGCAGGCTAAAGATGTCAACATTGAAAGTGATGAAAAAATGATGATGATGATGATGAGGTGAGGCAAGACAAAGCTTGTGCCAAACCAAAAGCCTTTCAGATTAAATAAACATAAGTATCTGTGATTACAGTTGATCAACATTTAAACATGCGACAATGTTAAGAGTAAATAATGTTTCAAAATTAATCCATCGATTAGACTGAAGATGAGGAGTGAAAATTTGTAATGAAAAAGTAATAATGATAATGTTACGAGGATGGAAAACGAAGCGACTGGAAATATTCCCAAGACAGAGTCAGACGAGAGTTTATTTGGTCTTTGCATGAATAAATATCATCGATATTTTCCCCTCAACATGTATACTTGGTGATGATGATAATAATATATATTGTGATAAAGAGAGTAAAAAGGAAAGAAAATGTTTGTAGAGAAAAAAATAAATCACAATCTTTGTACATAATATTATATATTATATCGATTATTTATATCACTTGCAAATAACTGTAAATCTCTTTTCCTTTTTTTTGCTTTCTCTTCTTCTTTTTTTGCCTCCGTTCGACGGTCGCCATTTTTCATGATATAGATGCAAATAAGGTATTCAATGTTCACCTTTCCATTTAGAGGCTTTTCACTCTTGCATTTACATTCACTTTTCACATTTGCTATTTACATTTAAAGGAACCATCAAATTGGTCACAAGAGACGCAACATGAACTTGATCAACATTGATTTTATTTGCTTATAAGGCCATCTTTTCACAGGCAAAGAAACACTCTTTTTATTGCTCTAATTGACGGACAATTTGCACTCAATTTACATTCATTAGTTGGTTATAAACATTTTATCACACAATAATAACGAGACTTTGGAAACTTTTCAAGCTTTGAACATTATTTGGGTTTTTGTCATTTCTTGGGTTTACATTAATCTTGGAAATTTTAAGTTTTGAGAAATTTTCGAGAAACTGAAAAGTTTTTGAGCTTTAAAATTGCGAGGAAAAACTTTTCTTTTGATTTGAAATTTTTTATAAGGCGATGAATTATCGTGAATTTGAATTGCTGTAAATATTTTTTTGCATTTTCTGTCTGATCGATTGCATTAAGGGAATGAGTTTTGAGCGGTTTTTAAAGTTAATGAGTTGATTAACAATCGTTAGTTTGATCCTTGAGCTGCATTATTAAATATCAAAAGTTTTTTAATAAAACGGTTGAATTGATGAGGGAAAAGATTATAGTTAATTGAATAAGACTTGGAATGAAATGAAAGATTAATTTGTATGTTAATCGGAATTGAGTTGGGAAAAGAGTGAAAACTAATAAAAATAAAACATTGGAAGAGGAGAGACAAAAAAAGTGAGAGTAAAAAATGTTGCTCAAGTGATGAGAATGATGAAGATGATGAAGATGATGAGATGAACAAGGTCAGTGGTGAAAGCGATGAATCTGTAAGTTTGGTATGTTAAATGTAAAGGATGACAAAGGATGAAAGATGATTTTCGGAGCAAAGAATCGATGAAGTTGATGAGAATGATAAAGATGGTTTAAAGGAGGAAAAGTAAAATTGAAAGGATGTGAATAGAAAGACGAAAAGGAAGAGAAAATGATTTAGATAGAAATGTTGAATAATATGAATTTTATTACATTGATTATTGCGACAAAGTTCATGATAAGTCTGTCAACAAAAAAGGAGCGAAAAAAAGTGAAAATTAACTTTTCACTTTACTCGATTTTGGACAATGATGGGAACAAAATGAAGAGATGAAATTATGCAAATTCCCGTGAGGTTCATTGATAGGGATTAAAGTTGATTATTTGTTAACTGTTGCTGCTTATTACAAGCAATTGATTGACATTCAATGATTGAGTCGAACTCGATTTTTATGCAACAAAATTTACTTCTCTTGTCGCCAGCATTTCACGTGTCAATGGTGAAAGGTTGGGCTGATTAAACACGCATTGAGATGATCATTGGAAGAGAAAAGGTGAAAATTGTTTTTCCATTCAAAGTTGGGTGAAGAAGGAAAAGGAAGAGTAAACTCGAGTTTCTGTTTTTATTGTCTGTTCCTCTGTTTTTCCTGATGAACAATTGTTTATGTTCTAGTTTTAAGCTTTGAATCAATCAGGATTAAAAGGTAAGTTGAAATTTGAAAGCTTATTAGATGAACAAAGGTTATCCTCATCATCATCTGGGTTTGCTTCTTGTTAACTCAACATTTTGTTTTGTTTTTTGAGGCAAGCAAAATTGTGTTTATCTTTTTTTTGCCAAAACAAAGATGAAAACCATTTCTACTCAACAAAAGATTCATCTTTTCAATCATCATTCTCAATTGGATGAAACAAATGAGATTGCAATTTATACTCCATTCAGTTTGTACTTTAATCCTGGATCCATTCAACCTTTCAATTGGACATTCATTTCAAAATTGCTTTTTTCACATTTGAATTATCGCTTGATAAAGGTTTAACAGTTAATCAACTTACCTGCAACTGGTGACAGTCGAGATACAATGGCCCATCGAGGTCTCCACTGATTAGGGTTAGAAAAGAAGAATTGAGAATCGAAACAATTTTTACATTTTAATCAATTTACCTTTCGAGTTCCTCTGAATTTGAGTTCACCTTCAATCACAATTTTAGGATCCATGATTTGGGTAAACAAGAGCAAAACAAATATCTTTTTTGCTTCTTCTCGTTCAGTAAGCACACAAATGGAAAAGCAAAATTGAAAAATTTGTTGTTGGTCACAAACACTGAAAGATGATTGCGAGACACGAAATTATTCAATTGTTTTGATGAGGCAAAAATTGTTTAATCAAACATTGTCATTGAAGTTTGATTAAAGTTGAAGGGAAACAGTAAATCCATTGAATGGTTCACAGGGCAAGTTTACTGATGAGTTGAGTAAAAGTTGATTAAACATTTTTAGTTAACTTTTCAAGTTTAATTGATGCAAGATAATTCAAGTTAATCCAAGTTAATATTGTCAGCTCTGAATCAATGTGATCTCATTGAAAGTTACAACAAGACTAAACTGTTTTCCCTCTCAAATGTTGAAACATTTTCAAGACAAAGATGGCGCTGCCTTGAAGGAATACTCAAAGAGCATGAACTGAATTGAAATTGCAATCATTTTAATCAAAACTTATTTCATGAATTTGTTATTTGTACAATTTGCTAATTACTCTCAAAATGATTTGGAATGATGAGCAGGTAAATTGCTAAATGCAATAAAATTTTGAGTTCTGTCGAGGAAATTTTGTTCCATAAGAAACTTGATGATGTTGATTGGGTTAAAATATTTATCGTTGCAAAATGATTATCAATTTCATTTAATTTTTGCTTTTAAAATTAGTTTAACTATTAAATACATTTCATTGCAACTGTAAATTGTAAAGGTTATGGGAATTTAACGTCAAGAGGTTACATCTGGTGGTGTAAAAGTAAAACTAAAATTTCCATGATTTCTTGAGAATGAATCTTGTTCTTAAATAATGGATGAAAACGATTAATCTATTGAGTCACATAGATTGATCCATGTTCATTAACTGTAATCGAGAAGAAAATCATTTGTCTGCCTCAAGCATAGCAATTTACAGCTACAGCTACGGTGAGATCAAGTTCAGAGCAATTAGCAACTTTTTCAGATATTTTTGTCCGAATTTTTCCAATTCTTTCAGATAAGAGGCTATATATTTTTATTAGTCATATTCAGCTTTACAATAGGGCATGAACTTTTCAATAGAACGAGCTTGAGACAAATAAGTAAACAACTTAAAATATCTTGACCATGCCATCTCACGTCCAACCAAGTCTAGTAAATCTAGCAAAAGCAGCGAATCGCCGGAAATCAACGAAATTTAGTCTTCTTTTAATATAAAATTATTCAAAAATTCAATATTTTACTCTATAATTCCATTCCTTTAATATCCTTGTTAAAAACCATTATTCAGTTCAATTCATTCCCACTCTTTTTCAGAACCCTTTAGGTTTAGAATTGCATATCGAAAAGAAATGCAATTTGTTCATTTCGAACTGTATGAGACAAGCTTTATTGATTAATGGCTCATCTAATTATTTCACTCGATTAGTGAAATTTTCTTATTATACAGTTTTAAGTAGCTTTTTATTTCATGGAGTTTAGTTCATACTTGCTCAGTTAAGGTGAAATGCTGAACTATCTAAATTCTGGTTATCCCCAAACTTGAACACTTCCACCATTTTTCTCCTTCACTTTTCCTTTTTCGTTCATCTGATCACAATCTAAATATTTTTCAATGAACCTCGTGTTAAATTGTTTGTTAAACTCATCTCAATTCATCTAAACCAGTACAACTTACAGTTAGTTGACTTTCACTGATTTTCTCACCGATAAATTTACCTTCTTGTTAGCGACCCTTTACCTTAAAAGCAAGTCACTTGAGGTCAAATTTGCAAGGAAGCAAAACTAGATTAACTTGTTGTATGATGATAAAAAATATGAAAGTATCTTTCCAATCCATCAATTTGTTATTATTATGAGTTGAAGCTGATAACAAACCAAGATATTGAAAAAACTGTTTATTCACCTCAGTGAATTTGGGTTCTGTTTGCGTCTATTACGGGTACAATGTCAAACGATGAGCTTGATCGTTACATGGTAAGTTTAATATATTCCTACTTTTTCTTATTCGTTGTAATATGTTAACTCGCCAGATGAGGCGCAAGTTGAGTTCATTGTTTCCTTTAAAACCTGTCCCCTCTGTTGTAAGCCTGAGCAATGTTATTTTCCTATCTTTACATGTGTTTATCTTTATCACCATGTTTGAATATTTTTGTAACTATCAATGTGATATAACGTAAATTTTTTATTCTCGCCTCTGTTGATATGGCATTATAACAATTTCCAATGTCCAGTTTACAATTATCCAACAATCATTTAATATTTTCCATGTCTTTAGTTTTCTCTTGAAGGTTACCTGCGTAAAGTTGACTCTTTACGACACTTGCCAAGGAGGACATTATGTAACTCGTTATTGCCCAATTTTGGTCACATTGGATCCATCTTTTTGGCCAACTATACCTGTCCACAAGCTTTGAGAGGACTACAAATTATTATCAAGCTCATTTTTTATGCCAAAGAAAGCAACACCGTTGAGGAAGCTGACTGTCCATCATTGCATGATTTTATCAACCAGCTGCAAGATCATATTATCAGTGGGAAAATATCGCCGTTAAGTGATTTTGAGACTCAAAAATTAACCTACTTACTGCCTAAATATCGCAACACCCAAGTGCTGACATTAATCAAAGACTGTCTAAAGAATCCTGTATCTGTTAATATCGATGAATGCATTCAACGGAGCAGTTTAGTTGAAGACTGTGGTAAACTTAACCTGCTGTTTTTTCCCATCATCTTGACATTTTGTGACATTCTTTCACAAACTAATGGACACTGGTTTATCGGTAAAATTATTGGCAGTTTCAAAAGGATTGTAATCAGTCGTGTCAATGGCAATGTCATCAAACTGTTTCCATCCCATCTACACCCATTCCTACCTCATTTGGAGCTTTTGGACCAACAATTATCTCCACAAGCTACTAGTTCATCGCTAATTCCCAATCAAGCTGCTGATAAACTCTGTCGCAACCTAGATAAATCACAATCTCTCGGAATTTGCAAATGGTACGAAATAGTTGCCCTACTGATTTTATATCCAGTAGTAGCAGATTTTTTGGTAACAAATAGGCGAGAATGGATCGAAAAACTACGAAACTAAAATCGAAAGGAAGCCTTTTCAAATAGGGCTGAGCCAAGATCTTCAATCGATCAATTCCAGCTGCCAATAAGCCCATATTTTCCTATCATTCACCGCAACAGGTTACATTATGGCGGCAACTATAACCTGAAAAATTTACTGCATCACTACTAATCCTTTGTATGTCAAAGGAGTAAAATATTTACTTAAAAATGAAAAAATTCGTTGTTGGCCATCCAATTGAACTGAAAACAATAATAAACTGTGATCTTTCAAGTTGGTTTGGTTACAGTTGGTTACAACAAAAACATTAGGAAACAATTTATTGACATTTTTACACATCTACGAAACATTCAGAACACATCAAAAGCCGACTTCTTTAAATATCATTGATTGATATCGACAATTTTTACCAAATTTTCTTAAATCTATTCGAAACAACTAAATGTTCATTTCAAATCATTTTGTAAATATTGAGCCAACGTAATAAAAAACATTTCAAATAATGTATCTCACTTGACTAGTTATCATTTTCCTCACCAGACCTCACTTCAAGTATCATAATTGCGGTAAACTTGAACTTGATTTAAATGATGAAATGACTGACAATTTGTCAATAAGCTCAAGTTGACCTAAAAAGGCAAATGAAAATTGATTGATTTTTCAAAGTTTCAAGATTAATCAAATCATGAATTGTTTTTGAGCAAAAAATGGATCACAAAATATCCATAAAATGATGAAAAGTTGAAGCAATGAATGAAACTCAAAATGAGCCAACATTTGGAAACATTTAAAAATAAATGAAAATAGTTGATAAAAATTTAAATAATTTAACTAATCAAATGACCTTGAACAATCGTATCTCGATGTGAAACAATTAACTTGAGTGAACTGAAAAAAATGAAAACGCCTCCAAATGAGTGCACTTTAATGTGATTCAATTGATGGAATTGTTAAATGTATTGAAATAAATGGAAAGTTGCGGAAATGAGAATGCTAATTGTAGCTGATTAGTGATTAAAATCTGGAGTTGATTAAAAATGCTTTCTTCATCTACTTATAATCCATTGAAAGCGCAATTTGAATCACTTTGTTTACTTGATTCACTTTTCTGGTTACTTAACGTAACCTTTTCAATAACAGCAATCTTGCTACACTTTGTGCTCATTCAATCAATAGATTGACCCAAATTCAATTATTATATTTGAAAATAATAATAATATTTGGATTGTTTAACAACAATCAAATGAAGGAGAAACTAAAAGTTGTTTAATAAGGTTTAGTTTCATCGATTGATTCAAATTGTTGTCAATCAATGAAAGAGGTAACATTATCTAATCAATATCAAGGTTAATCTTTGACAATAATATTCACCAAACATTGAAACATTAACTATATCAGCTCATCAAATTATCAATTAATTGTCATTCAATGGAACAATTTACGGAAATTGTTCAATGAAAGGTAGATCGTTACCCGTGTTGTGTCTGCCGAC